ATAAATGTCAATAGTTTAAAACTCTGAATATTTTTTGTAGTAGTAGTAATAACGGTTAACTAACAGTTAACTACATCAGTTTGAAGTCTAGACAAAATAATTTAACATCCTACTAACACTCAGAATTCCAAACAAATAAAAATAAATAAGGTTTTTAAAAACCCACAAACTACCCCAAAAGATTTTTACACAAAACAAGAGTTATATTAGTAGTATGTCAATAGTGGCTTACTAAAAATCCAAAAATAACATCTGGCCTTATATTTATGTTGCTAAGGATGTTATTTTTGGACATACTGCAGTGGCCTGCTTATTTAATAAGTTGAATGAAAAGCGTATCTGTCTGACTCAAATTTTGTTCCTAGAAGACCAGTACTATGAAACTGGCCTACCAGAGAAGTGAAAAAATATGATAAATCCTTTCATGTTAAGTTAGCCAAAATGGATTGCCCCTGTTTAAAGTAGACTTATTTCAAGACATACTAAAGGTCACCGCTTCTGTTTGCTTTGATTCTCTTTGACATTTTGATTTTTTTTCTAAATATATACAATAGTCAGCTAGGAATACTTACTCCATATCACAGCGTTAGATGGGAATACTTGGTCAAACTTTTTTGTGATGTAAAATCTCAGTTGGTTCTTCAGGAAATGCATTTTACCTCACAAAAGTTATTTTCTAAATAGGAAACTGTCGAGAATGAAGTATGCAAAAGAAAATTGTACACCAAAATAGCAGAATTGGAAAAAATCTGCAACTGAACTATTAATCCATTTTGGCTTTTCAATCCAAAAATTGCCTTTTTTTTTTTTTTTTAATGAGGTAAAACGCATTAGTGTTTTTATGATACACTTTTTTTTTTTGTTTTTAAATGGCTATAAAGTTCCCATGTAATCCTTGCTCCTGTATGTTTAATTTTGATTACAGAAAGCACTATACTTTGGTGTTTTTTTTTTTTTTTCTGTTTTTTTTACATGACACCACTGACTACTCCTGAGTGATATATCCAAAAGCAGGGATTGTACCACTGTATTCTAATTTATTGGAGCTATTCAGGGATCTATTACATGCAAGTACATAAATGATATACTTGCATTATTATTCAAAGAACTGCCTTAGATACTACACCATATTTTGTTCCGGTAATCAGCTCTGTTTCATGTCTTGACAAGGACCAACATACAGTACAAGCAGATCTTTCATAAATCCTTGGGTGGGATTGCTCCTCTCATGCCCAATATCTCAGAGCTGGTGTGAAGTTCAATTTAATGTAAGTGCCACTCCACACTTATTCCCATCCTGAAAAAGAGATCTAATCCACCATTGGACCTTTTTTTGTTCTTTTTGACTTGGTTATATATCCATCTGGAGCGCAACCATCCACCTACTGTGAATTAATAACTTTACATACATTGTATGGACTGAAGCCATACCTTCACAGCCTAATAACAATTGAATTCTACAAATGCCCTAAAAGGGTGACCTTTTAATGATACAAACACATTTCTCAATATTATTTACCTGGGGCTCAAATACACCTGGGAAACCGCAAAAGTCAAGTTATTTTTATATCATTGCATAATCCGTGTGCCTCAAAACTTGAAGAAATGGTTTCACGATGATACTGAAACTTTTATTCAGAAGTTTTGTTTAACATGCATTCAACAAGCTAGAAAATCCAGGATAATTGTTATCTGAGTTACTGTGCATAAAGGGGGTAATTTCCCAAAGTCCTACTTGAACTATGCAGATGATGCACAACAGTAATATTTAAGTTTTCATAAATCCATGGGGAGTTTTGTCTCCGCACAAACAACTATATATTAACAAAAAAACTTTACCTCCTGTCCATGCTCATTTGCATTGCAAGGAATGAATTCTGGGAGAATAGTGAATGCTTTTTCTGAATTACTATACCCAAAGTATTACAGTTGAAATATTATAATGTCCTAAATAGCATATCATATATTCCAAAGAGAAAAGAGCACCCAGGAGTCTTGTATCCAAATGGTAACTTAACCTTTATTCAAGAACCATCAGTATTTTGGCCCTTCACCAGTGCCTTTATCAAATTGGGCATCAGCATTTCCACTAGGCAGTGGTAAGTGAACATTTACTCAGGGGAGTACAATTTCACCCCAGGACCCTCCAGCTTTGCAGTGGCAAATACATTTTAAGACCTAATTAGTGGTTTTAAACTGAGGACTCACTCCGTTAATTGATCTCTGTATAACATCAATAACTGTTATACCTAAATATATAAAATTGCTTAACACTTTTTAAATATATTAGATTATAATAAATCCTAATAATATTACTTTGGGGGGAAAAGGATAAAACACTGTTAAACGGGCATAATAGTCACCAAAACAACTTTAGCTTAATGAAGCAGTTATGGGTTATAGATCATGTTCTTGCAGTCTCGATGCTCAATTGCCTGCCATTTAGGAGTTAAATCACTTTGTTTGTGCAGCCCTAGGCACACCTCCCTGCATGTGACTTGCACAGCCTTCTTAAACATTTCCTGTAAAGAGTCATCTAATATTTACTCTTCCTTTATTGCAAATGCTGTTTAATTTAGAATTTCTTATCTCCTGCTTTAATAGCTTGCTGGAGCCGACTGTATGTAATTAAAATTCAATTTACAGATCAGGAGATAAAAACTTTTTTAAAGCAAGTTAACATCTTAACCAATTTTTTTTCATGCAGGCTGTGTGAGTTACTGTCAGGGGACATGTGGCTTAAGCTGCATGAGCAGAAACAAAAGTGATTTAACTCCTAAATAGCAGTGAATTGATCTATACACTATAACTGCTTCATTAAGTGGAAGTTGTTTGGTGACTATAGTGTCCCTTTATGATATTGTTATTGGATACACAAGTCAGATCAAGGACAACAGTTTTATAGTTCGTTATACAAAAAGTCTGATGTACAAAAAAATATAAACAGAATAGCATACCATAGGTAACTTTTTTCTTTTGGTTTTTATTGTATGTATTCTGGCTGATGTGTACTATGGTCATTGCTGCCACCCAGGAGTAGTGGGAGTTTGAGCGCAGGACTTATTTTTGGGTATTTGTATTTGCTTTTGTATCACACAGCCATGTTACAGTGCTGCCGCCCATCCCATGTGTTCACTATTAAGGGGTAATAAGTATGTATGGTTTTAGAGAAATACCCCTCTCTGTCTCATTAGATTTTTTTTCCTGAAGCTGAAGGAAGCAAGTTGAATTGTTGGTGAAGGACCCACCTAAGAGGTTTGCCTTGACGTGGCAGGTGGGCTTACATCTAATGGCCATTTAAGTGAAACAAAAAAAACCTCCATTTGTTTAAATATGCATAGGGATTTACGTAAGTCCGCAAGTAACTCTTTTCTTTGATTTTTTATTGTATGTATTGGGGCTGATGTGTACTATGGTCATTGCTGCCGCCCAGGAGTAGTGGGAGTCTGATCACAGGACTTATTTTTGTGTATTTGTATTTGCTTTTGCATCACACAGCCATGTTATAATGCTGTCACCTAGTATGCAGGTAGCTCTTTTCTTTAGAATAGCATACCTCTCAACATTTCAGATGGACAAAGAGAGACACTTCAGCTTTTAAGATCACTTAATCTTCCCTGCCAGCCTCAGCCCATGGACATTGCAGCACACTGGGCATTTGCCCGGTTTGCCTGAAAGCCAGTCCTAGCCTGCCGTTAAGGTTGGTGTTTAGTGAGGGCGCTGGATCTTGTATGTTATAATATGAAGTTATGTACACTGTGTATTTTTATGTATAGACTATATAAAGGAAGGAGAAAGAAAGTTACAAAAGTAAAAATATGCACACCCACACTTCTGTAGTGGTACATCTGACGGAGACTGTAAGCTAAAAACATATCCCTTCCACACCAGGAAGAGGCTCCACCAATCAGGAACCTCTCATTCTGATCTATGGAATCTGATATTATCATTCAGTCTCCTTTCCATGAATGGTTTAGAGGATAAATAGTTTATCCCCCAGCTCCAATTCTACTCATCAAATTGCTCAAAAACATATTAGCTATAATATGGCTAGCAGCTTATAAGCTGATAGCGATGTTATAGTTACTATGTTTTTTTTCTTTCGAAACTTCTCAACATTTCAGATGGACAAAGAGGGCCACTTTTTAGTTTTTAGGATTCATTTGATCTTTTCCAACTTGACATTAACTCTACAGTCAAGTTCATAGATGAAAGCAGTCTCAGCACAGCTCTTTCTAGGTAGGAGAGCGTCATCTATTCCCCTTGAATGCAGCACCTGGATTCTGAATACACAACTTGAATGGCTTTGACACTGTGCTAGAGGTACTTTTCTGTGCATAATAATGTAGGTTGGAAAGAAGATTCAGATCCATTGAGTTCAACCTTTCACACATCAGTTTCTGAGGTTGATCCAAAAGAAGGCAAAGAAAAAATTTTTACGCAATTTCCAGTTGTGCCAAAATTTGAAAAGCTCTCCTTGGAAACAACACTCTGTTACTACTACTACTATAAGCTATTATATCCTGAAATAAAGTGTTGCAGTTATAAGCCACTATCAGCACTAGTAGTGGGTGCATGACTGCTGACCCATGTAACACCTTCCCGTTGCCCAATAAATACACAAACACCTGGATACAAGATAAGCAGCTTTATTAAACTTTGAACAAGCATTAACTCCCCAGCTGTCGGCTGATGGGGGTGATTATCTCACCAGACAGATATCACTTTCTGTTCCCAGAGTTTGAAGCAGCCTGCCTTCAGCCTTCATCCAAAGCAGGCTGTAGCTCCCCAATCCAAATTGTCACTTGCCTTCAAATGCACTGACCAGATATTCTGCACACTGTGACAAAACAAAACAAAACAAACAACAAGACACACAAAAAACCCCACAAACCATCTGCAATAGCACAATGCAAAAGAGAGAGGAAGGGAAAGAGCTATAATCACTACACTCTTTCCTTTCAAATGGTAAGTGTCCTCCCTTAAATTCCCCCTTTATCTGTACCTTACCTTTCTGTAACATTGTTATCCCATTGATCCAACCCCTTCCCTGGGCAGCAGTCATCTCTTGACTGTTGACGCATTTAATACCTTCCCATTGCCCAATAAATACAAGCACCTGCATAGTGGATAATGGCAAAGGCCACAGCTTTATTAAACTTTGAACTAGCATTAACTGCTGGCTTCCTTCATACTCCCCCCTCTCAATCCCTGCTTGCAATTCAACAACTCAACATTAAATATGTCCAGCCCAATGATATTCAAGAGGATCCCATCTTTCCGCATTAAATCAGCGTTGTCCTTTCCAGCTTGAAATTTTTGGCAACAGCCCCCAATACGTCACACAAACCTAGAAATAGTCACGCCCACTGTGCTCTAGCCCCTTCGCATATGGCAATTGCTGCCAACAAAGCCTGGGAACTACCTCAGACCACATCATTGTAACATCCCTAAACAATGCCACACAATACTCTAAACCCTCCTAATGGAGTAAATTAAATCCATCGTCCTGCGCCTACCCAGATAATTCCCCCCCCCCGCATGTATAACCAGCGATACTGACTCCGACACAAACCTGCTGAGGGACCTGCACTCTGGATACACTTGGCTCCATGACACTGCCACTATCCAACGAATTTGGAGGTTTTAAATACCTAAAGAAATGGAGATGGAAAGGAAGAATGGGGGAGGGGGTGAGGAGGAAAAAGGGAGAAAAGGGAAAATAACAAGTAGTAGAGATTCTTAACTTTCTTGATAAATAAGGAAGGGGATTTTCCTTTATTTTTTCTTATTCTTTCTGTTTTACTTTACTGTTTTATATATACTTTTTTATTCTATAATCCACATTGGGGACCTGTGGGAGACACTAATATACTAAAAGGAATTTAGGGCAAATAAATCAACAAATATAATTATAGACCACAGGAAAAAAAATTTAAACAGGCACTCTACATAGAAATGAATCTATAATAAAAAGGGAAATTTTTCATACTAGGATCATGAATAGGAAGTAATGAAGTAAGAGAAGAGGGAAATTCACCAAAGGAAAAATAAAAAGAGACAATCAAGAAGAGGGGAATGGGGTAAAAGAAGAGGAAAAGGAAAAAGAGTTAAATCACAGAAGATACACTATCAGAAAGGGAGGACAACAAAGTTAAGGCGAAGGGTAAGAGTGACACTCCAAGAATAACACTAGCGCTTCATAAAGAAGCAATAAGGAAGAATGAGAAAACAGCACTTAAAGAATAATTCAAATAACAAAGGTGAAATCACTAAGGGAATGGATTTATATATCAATTATGACTTTCTTTCTTTTGTTTTTCCTTCTCATTATTTGTGTTTCCATCCCCTTCCCTCATTGGTAGTGCCTCCAGTTGTGCTCGCCATAGGTCAATTACCATAGGTCGATTACCCTCAATAAGCATTTCCCACATAATATGTGGGACCTATATCTGAGTAATGGGATTCACTACTTGACATACGGTATGGCGGGGGTCAGCCACCACACACTACACTTGTTTTAGGTTGATGCCATTGTTTTGGATCAACCTGTCTTATTTTTATGTAAATACTAATAAAGAAAGGTTTTTTGATTTCTATATATATATGGTAACCCTTGGAGAGAAAATACCCTAAAAATAAGAAATTATTATAAATTAAGTTGATCTCTATAAATTTCGGGGGATAAAGAAACCATGTAAAAGGTCAGTAATTGTAGATTTTTTGATAAAAAAATCGGGTACAAATTTGTGCCCTCCAAGAAACTCATTGGACAAAAGCTAAAGAAAAGACAATAAACTCATTCATTTTTAGAAAACAAAAAAGGGGTGTTGCACTTATTTTCCCTAGTTATTAAATATCAAGAATTAGATCCAGAAGGGCGATAAATTATCTTAATATGTGAAATTAACGACAAATTATTTATACTAGCATACATTTATACACCAAATAAAGCAGCCATAAAATATATATCAAAAGTGTTTAAAAAAAAGAGTAGATAAGACAAGGGCTAGTACTAATTATGGGGGATTTTAATTGCATAGTTGAGATAGAAAGAGCCAGAATGATAAGAAAAATAAAAATAAAGATAAGAACAGACTGCAAAATTTACTTAATTATCACAATTTAAGAGACATATGGAGAACATTCCATCCCACAGATTTAGATTATACATGCTATTCTAGAACATTCAATTCTTACTCCAGAATAGATTATATCTTGGGAAATGTAGCCATGCTGTATGGCTATAAAAAAATAGAGATACAGGATATAGCATGGTCAGATCATAGCCCTATCATGCTGGAATATAAAGATACTTTTGATAATTTTCACAAAGAGTGGCATATAAAAGACTTTATACTACACAAAAAAGTAGTATGGAAGAAATTGAAAAGATAACAAATCTCTTCTTTCGTGGATACAAAGGCAAAGGCACACTGGACATTATGGTCTTGTGTGCATATAAAAGTGTAGCTAGAGGTCACCTGATAAAAATGGTATCGATTGAAAATAAAAGAGAATTACTGCACCTATCGAAACTATACATAACATTAAGGGAACATAAAAGGCAAAATAAATTAATACCTTCTACACAAACAGCAAATAAGATTGCAGAAATAGAAAAACAGATTAACAATCAACTAATAAACAAAGTATCCAAACAACTAGAATCCTTGCAAGCCAAATGGTATTTAAAAGACAATAAACCAGAAACAATTATGTCCAATAAATTGAAAACAGACAAACCTAAAACAGTAATATATAAAATAAAAGAGAATGATACTTATCTAATGGCTCTGGAAAAAATTGGAGGAGCATTTGAAAGATTTTATCAGAATTTATACAGCTTACCAGAAGAAACATTTGGTAAGGCAAAAGAGATTGAGAAGTGCTTTGAAAACTTGCCTATGCCAAAAATCCAACCCTATAAATTAAAGCAAATAAACCAGCCAATAACAGAAGAAGAGGTCAGTAAGTCGATAGATAAACTTAAAATAAAAACCGATCCAGACCCAGATGGCTTTACAAATACATTTTACAAATTAATGAAAGATCAACTATAAGGGGAACTCACTAATATTTATAACTATATAATGGAAACAGGAGACTGTCCTGGAGAGCTGTTGAGGGCAAACATTGTGCACATCCCAAAAGCAGATAAAGACCTAGAAAACATAGGAAATTTTAGACTCATATAATTAATTGAGATATTAAAATACTATCTTCCATTCTAGCAGACAGATTAAAAACAGTAATACCACAACTTATTAAGAATGATCAAGTCGGATTTATACCAGGGAGGTCCTCAATTAACAACCTTAGAAAAACAATAAAGATAATGGAGGAAGCAGAGAGCAGTGGAACCCCTCTAATACTTCTGTCAATAGAATAGACGCAGAGAAAGCTTTAAACTGGTTTGGAATTACCGGACCAATCTTACAAGCTGTGTCTGCTCTCTACAGCTCTCCATCAGCTAAAATAACAGGGTCAGGTTTTAAATCACAAAATTTTAATATTAAAAATGGGACCAGACAATGGCGTCCTCTCTCTCCCTGACTGAATATAATGGTGCTAGAATCCTTATTTCAATAAGACAGAATAAAAAAATTAAGGGATTCACAAATTCACTAGGACAAACAAAATTAAACATCTATGCAGATGATATCCTATTACATTAGAAGAGCCAAACATTTCGGTCCCAGAACTACTGAAGGGCATAAACAACTACTCTAAAGTCTCAGGATACAAAATAAATCTGAGAAATCAACATTTATAGCTAAAAATATGAACAAAAGGACAATCAAACTACTCGTGCAGGACACTGGACTCCCCGAAAACAGTGATAGACTAAAATATCTGGGTAACAACATAACAACAGAATTAAAAGATTTAATAGAATCTAACTTTCTACTCCTACTAAAAAAACTAATAAAAATCTAAGGGATTGGAAAGGCATGGGTTTTTCATGGTCGGGCAGGATTAACATCCTAAAAGCATATATCCTGCCAAAATGGCTGTACCTGTGGAGAATGATTCCAATTAATTTCCTGATTAAAACTGGCTGTCTCTGCTACATTTTTCCTTTGTTAAATTTATTTTGGGGGGCAGGAAACCAAGAGTCAAAATGAAAGTATTGGCTAGATCAAGACAGGACGGAGGCTTGGGTGTCCAGAAGTTTTGCAATGTTACCAGGCCAGCAGACTATTTCATATAACGCTCACACAAAGCAAGGCGGCTACTCAAGAAATATGGTATAAAATGTAAAAAGCTAAAACTGGGGTTGGAAAATTATCCTTATTATTTTGGGTTGTTGAGGCAAATAAAAAGTGTATTAGAGAGGCACAAAGCAAATCTCAGATACTTAAAGAGCTAATGAGATAAACTTACAAACAATAAAGGACTTAGAAACAAAATTATTAATACGCTCCCAAAAAACAGATATATGGATGTTAAAAGGGGTAAAGGAATTTAAAAACATAATGGAGGAATATAACCTTAAACCTTTCAACCAAATTATGAAGGACTTTAACATTCCCCCAAGTGAAACGTTTAACAATCTGCAAATTAAAAACTTCTTAGCAGAACACCTCTTTAAAAATAAGGAGGAGGATACCATAAATCTTATACAATTATTTAAAATAAAGAACTATAAAAACCTAATGGCAAAATGTGCAAAAGTTGTATATAGATGGAGACATGACAAACTGATAGCATTGATTAATAAATGGGAAAAAGAGCTACAAGTACTTATAAAAGAAGAACAATGGACAAATTCCTTAAATAAACTAAATAAAAATATACACTGACTAAATCTTTTAGAAACCCAATTTAAACTATCAAATAGATGGTATTTAACACCTAAACACTTAAAGAGAATCAGAAACAGAACTACCAGACAGATGCTGGAAAGGAAATGCAATACTGGTGAAGGTAATATGGTCCATACTTGGTGGCAGTGCACACCCATAAACACATTTTGGAAAGAAGTAATCAAGATAATACATCAAATAATGGAAATATAACTACCTTGTAAGCCTAAAGTGGTTTTACTAAATTTGCACTGGTCAGAAATGAGAAAAGAATACATTAATGTTGTCATTACATATAATCACGGCAGCCAAATTACTTTTTGCAAGAAACTGGAAAACAGAGAAAATTCCAAAAATCTATGAACTGATAAAACAAGTAACAGGGCAAGCAA